AAACGCACACACGCAACAAAGGTACGCAATTGTCTTTTAACCTTGGTAGTTGCTCTGTTTCCACAAATATCCAGGATTATGATTTGCTGAACATCACTATGCGCGCTCAATGTGTGCATATGCCGGGAAAAGCTTTCTCAACGTGTGCATATGCCGAATATTTACGAGCACTTTTCTCTCACCCAACACAACACATAATGCTGTGTTGAAAGAGCAGCCCAGGCATAGGCCCATCCCGAGCAGGTTTACTGGCTCGCGTGTCAGCATTCGACTACTTGCCTTTCAGTGCTTAACGGCAGCAGTCTTAGTACCAAGTATTACATTACTCGCTTACAGAAGCGCGGGTAGGGGAGGCACAGGGGGCACGTGCCCCGCTCCTTTAGGCTTCGAGAGGCCCGAAGGACCCTTCGGAATCTGTGATTAAGGGTCCGATTTGAGGGCCCGAAGGGCCCGAAAAGCCAGTCTGAGGTCCTATTCAGAGCTCCGGCCCGCAGGGCCGGACACTGCAATGCCAGCCAGAGGGCCCTGAGCGCTGGTCAGGGGCCCACTGAGCCTATAAGGGCCTATATTTCGGTCAGACGCCACCAGTAACGCACAGTCGGCTCCCTGGAGTCATGGGCCTGAGGGCCCATTTCCCAAGCTGGGACAAAGCCGGAACCAGCGATTTACAGTTCTCGGGGCCCCCAGCGCCGGGCAGGGCCCGCGTGTTGTCAATAAGCCCCGAGTTGGCTAGAGGCACTGTTCGAGGAGGCCCGAAGATCCTAGGAGGCCCACGGGTCCGACGAGCAAGGGCCCGGTTGGAGGGTCTAAGGATATAAAGGGCTGGTCAGAGTTTATTCAGCGACCCAGACCTGCGAAGACGGGCCCTCAAAAAAGGCCAGAGGGCCCCTTGCACCAATCAGGGACCCCTGAGTCGATGCGGGCCTATATGTCCATCAGGCACCACCGTACCACATAGTCGGCTCGAGGACCCACTTCCCAATTAGCTATAAAGCCGGGGTCAGTGATTTAAACTGGCCGGAGGCCTTGTGTCTGTCAGGGGCCACAGCGCCTAACAAAGGGCCCTATGTTCGCAGGGGCCCCGAGCCGGCCGAGGGAAGTGTTCGGTGAGGCCCGAAGAGGGGCCCAGACGGCCACCGGAACCGACGATCAGAGGCCCGGTTCGAGGGCATAACGACCAGAAGGACTGGCTGTAGATCACAAAAAGAATTGCGGCCGTAGGGTCTTGACCTGAAAAATCAGCCAGAGGTCCTCTTGCGCCGTTCAAGGAGCCTCTGAGACAATGCGGGTGTCCAAGTCGGTCAGAGACCACCAACACCGAACAGTCGGCTCCATGTCCGTCTGAGCCCTTGGGATACATTACCAACGCAGAAACAACCGCGATATGCAATATTCAGGGTCCCTGACGCAATGAGGTGCTCCTGTGTCGGTTAGGGGCCACAGTGCCGAATAGGGGTCCTGTGGCGGTAAGTGGCCCCGAGCCAATGCGATGTTTGAGGGGGCCAGATGAGGGGCCCAAGGGTCTCTCGATACACAAAATCAAGAGCCCTATGAAATGGCTGGAGGGTCCGAGGGACTGGATGCAGGTCACATTAAGGGCCGCTGCCCACAGGAGAGTGATTTCGAATGTCATTAAGATGACCTCTCGCACCGATAGGGACCCCTAAGACGGAGCGTTCCTCTATTTCGGCCAGAGACCACGAGCAACGTTCAGTCGGCTCCGGTTTGGTCTGAGCTCTGGGAGCCCACTTCCCAAGCAGGGACAAGGCCGGGCCCGAGACCTGCATTGGTCGGGCTCCTGAATCGTTCAGGGGCCCACAGTGCCTAACAGGACATTTTGTGTCAACAAGGGGCCTCGATTCGGTCAGGGCAAATATGCTCAACATGACAATTGAAGGAAACGTAAAACTCTTGATGTGTGCTCACATCGAGGTAATACAGGGTAACACTTCCCAAGACCTAACGTTAGCCGCCAGGTCGACGCTGCGCGGCCTATGAAGACCGCAACGCCTGGCGTCGATTTTTTGTTTCCTAGATACGCGAGCGCGCATGCTTAAGACTAGGTCACATAATTTGTACCACTAACCATTTCTGACCGATTGTTGAATATATCCAGACAAATATGGCTTGGTCATATTAATGCAAACTGTTGATCCAGTTTGATGTTCAATCTACATTCGCGAAATTCTTGCTATCTCTGAACAAACCAGATGCAAGCTCTGACAACATTTCTGATTTCTGTCAGTTTAAGTGTCCACTGGACCATTGTAGAATGAAGAGCGCCGACGATTTATGTTGTGTAGTCATTTACGGTGTGATTTTGTCAGTTTAGTTATTGTAAACTGATGGCAGAATTGATCTCGCGGTAGCGTCTGACCTATATTCCAGTTATAGAATATATATATATATATATATATATATATATATATATATATAGAAGATCTAAGAGAAGCATATCCCCGAGAACAAATGAGCCATATCCGGCGATTATGGGGGGAGGGCCTTTTGACTATCAGGGGGCCCTTGTCGACCCTGTGTCTCATCCCTTGCCAAGGCTCTGGCTGATACTTCCTTCTCTACATTTAAAGCTCTCAGGCGCATCTATTTTCATTCTATCTTTGGGATCAAAAGCTGGAAAATTTCTCTCAGAGACAGTGCCGCTGCTTGCGACTAGGATGATTACCAGTTCCTTTAATATAGCTGCTGAGGCGTGAAACTGTAGAGATGGAAATCGACTATCCACACGGACGCCCGTGGTGACTCGGCAACTTTTTTAGGGTAAAAATCCCCAAAACGTTTTAACTCCCATAAAAGCCCGACGCTCCCTGAGTTTGCTGCGGGCCCGGAAAAATTACAACTTTCATGCAGATTTGAATGACTTTCTCGACACCACCTGACGTCTTCGTAAAAGTCTCAGGTCTCCAGTGACGGCAAAGAGGCCTGAGTCATTCCAGGGATTCAAAAGTATTTCAGGGTCACACAGTTACAAGGACTCAGGTAACACCGAGGCTCAGGACGATCAGGCGTTCCTTGGCTTAAATGAACACGACATTATACAGCGGAGTATGGGATATAACCACGGGCTCAACATTTGTACGTGGAAACTCCAGAGTTTTTTTTAAACCCAGTTACATTTTTTGGTCAGCTTAGGGCGCCTAGACATAAGCATGCAATCACTTCCGGCCGGGGCACCAAATGGACATAGACATGTACGTCAGACATCAATGCCATCAATGGCCGACATCAATCGCACCGGACATTCAGTCGGTTCGTATCATATTTGAGCAAAACTCATAGGCTTCCGTTGCCAAGCAGTTCCTTGTGGGCGCCCACTCATGCGTCCTGCGTGCCAAGGTACCTTTCCAGGAAGACACCTACACCCCGGTCAGCATGCCGCACCTCGACAAGACCGGTTTACGGGCTGCTTGACAGACACACAAATGGTGATGTCAGTGGTCAGCGAACCCCTCCCTCGCGCATGCAACCGGCCACAGCCTCTCATTTTCCATGGTGGCCCGCAGATGGAGCTCTCTGCGCCTGGGCAGATAAACACCCGCGCGGCGCGCACCATGTTCAAGACGGCGATTTGCAATTTTATCATTTGGTAAAAATGGTAAGAAATAGGATTGTTTTACCATTTTAATCATGACCTGATTAATGCTAGCTGCTGAGCGGTGCAGTTTTTGATCTGGTGTCCTGGCTCTGATTTCCTCTGATAAATGACATGGTGATAGCTATGGCCATTACATCTATCTATTTATCTCTATATCTACACACACACACACACACACACACACACACACATATATATATATATATATATATATATATATATATATATATATATATATATATATATATATATATACGCGCGCGCGCGCGCGCGCGTGTGTGTGTGTGTGTGTGTATAGCTGAACCTTTGGTTCCAATGCTCCGCCTCTGTGGCGCAGCATTACTGCAGTACCAGCATACCATTCCGCGGTGGTGGCAAATGAGTCAGTAAGGACAGCGGTGCTCTTGTACCTGATTCAGAGGTGGACGCACACCCCACGGACCAACGTAAATGGCCTTTCGTCCGCGCAATCGATGGAAAATAAAGCCTCAGAAGCCCCAAATCGATGAATAACACTCATACATTCTGTACTCAATATCAGTGATACCTTTAGGCAGGTCCGTTTGGACAGTTCTTGGTTCCGGCGTCGTCTGCGTCTCAGTCAGCAAGCATTCGGTGGTCATTGAACAAGAGAAGCACACTTCGATAACTGTCTGATAAGACCTCACACCTGTATTTATGGTCGACAAAAGTAAGCACTTGCCTTGTACCTACTCGATGGTATTTACACTTGTCATCAATGCAAACTGACGACAAAGTAAGACACAAACATCGAGTTGAAATATGGTACCTTCCACGGTATGAAACAACACAGTGCCTCAGAACGAAGCCAGAGTAGTCATCATTAGAAAGTCCAGGACACGCTCCCGTCGCTTTGAATAGACGTACCTACAAAGACCACACATCATTGGTGGCATGCCCTAGTTGGTAATGAGACAGTCGTGTTTAGGATCCGTGTTGAAGGCTTTGGTTCATCTCATAAAGTACCTGACTCCAATGGACAGCACCCCACCCACTCATTGAGGTCGCACGGACACCTTACAATTCTACCCACCTCTCTGATCCTGCTCTTCTGTCCGCAGCCCCCGCACCCTCATCTCTCACTTCAACGCTCCTCCCGCTGCACCTCGCACCCCCGCCCGCTACCTCGGATCCCTGCCCTGTACCCTTGCACCCCTACCCGCTACTCCTGGGTCTTAACCATCTACCGTTACACCCCTGACCGCTGCCCCCACGTCCCTGCTTTTTACCCTTGCACCCCTACCCACCGCCCCCGCGTCCCTGCCCTCTACCCTTGCACCTCACCCGCTACCCCCGCGTCCCTGCCCTCTACCCGCACCCGCTACCCCCGCGTCCCTGCCCTCTACCCGCACCCGCTACCCCCGCGTCCCTGCCCTCTACCCTCGCGCCTGCGCGCGTTAGCCGCGTGCCTTCTCGGTGCCGGCGGTGCCGTAGTCGGTGCCGGCCGACTCTGTCAGCGGGATCTGATCCTCGGTGGCCCCTCTCGGCTTCAGGCGGCGGTACGTCGCCAGCTGCAGCGTCACCGTCAGCAGGCACAGGCCGATCATGGCGCCGTACTGCGCGCGCGGCCCCAGGTACGTGTACAGGTAGATGTTGAGCAGCGGGTAGACTAGCCGGCCCACGTTGGCCGAGCCGTTCACCACGCCCCACATGAAGCTCTGGTTGCCGGCCGGTAGTAGCTTGGAGATGACCGAGTTCACCATGGGCAGCATGAACGGCGTGGCCGTCATCACCAAGCCGAAGCTGATCACCAGCTGCGCCAGGTGCGGCCGCGGCTCGGTGAGGCACCAGGTCTGCGACGGCGGGCAGCCCAGCTGACGGCCCGTGACCGGGTCAAGGTCACGCAGACTTAGCGGCAGGCCCGCCGGCGCCGCTCCCGCCAGGTTCATGGCGTAGGCGAGGCCGCCGCGCGAGCGGTACGACCGCAGCAGCGGCGCCGCGGCGACGGCGCCCGGCGCCAGCGTGGCGTTGGCGGCGGTCGGCGCCGGCGCCGGCCCGGCCAGCGGCGGCGTCGGACCCGCCACCGGGAACATGACCAACGCGCCCAGCAGGTACATAAAGTTGCCGGCGAGCATGATGCCGCGCTCGGGGAAGCGCTTGGCGAGGCGGCCGGACAGCGCGAAGCCGGCCAGCGCCAGCACGCCGTAGAGGGTGAGAATGTTGCCGGCGCGGCGGACGGCGTGCTCCTCCGACCAGCCGTACAGGTCCATCGCCATAGGCGTCATCATGGTGTCCGGAAGCTGCAGCCAGCCGTAGCAGTGGGCGCCCAGCAGGTTGCATATGGCCACTGCCAGGTAATCGGTGACGACCGGCGACTGAGGCGCCTCGTCCGTCTCTCCGCTGACCGGCGGCGCTGTCGCCTGCGGGCACAGCCGGGGTCACAGGTCAAGCTCATCTCAAGGTGAGCACGCACGTTTCAGGTCTTCACAAGAGTGAGAGCGCGTGCCCATATCCGTTTCAACATTAAAAACGACGACAGCTAAGTTCCAGAAACTCAAGTACATGTACAGTTGTAGTTAAACTGACGACACACCAGTTTTCCATCTTAATTTCTTGCTGCTTATTGAGTCCTGCTAATTCTCGTATCCGTTCTGTGACTTTCTTCAAGTGGGTTATATTTTCTAGAGCATTTCTTTATTCTGTCTGTCTGTCGGTCTCTCTGTCTGTCTGTCTGTCTGTCTGTCTGTCTGTCTGTCTGTCTGTCCGTTTGTCCGTCCGTCCGTCCGTCCGTCTGTCTGTCTGTCTGCCTGTCTGCCTATCTGTCTGTCTGTTTGTCTGTCTGTCTGTCTATCTGTCTGTCTGTCTGTCTGTATGTCTGTCTGTCTGTCTGTTTGTCTGTCTGTCTGTCTGTCTGTTTGTCCGTCCGTCCGTCCGTCCGTCCGTCCGTCCGTCCGTCCGTCCGTCCGTCCGTCCGTCCGTCCGTCTCTGTCTGTCTGTCTGTCTGTCTGTCTGTCTGTCTGTCTGTCTGTCTGCCTGTTTGTCCGTCTGTCTCCCTCTCCCCCTTCCTCCCTCTCTCTCTCCTCCCTCCTTCCTCTCTCCACCGGTCCGCACCTCGTTCAGCTTGTCCTCCCGCACAGCGATGTCGTTCTCCTCGTAGTAGACAATGAACAGCACCAGGGCGGTGCCGTACACTACCATGCCGAGCAGGCCGGCCACCGTGTACATGTTGAGGATGTAGCCGCAGATGGTGACGCCCACAGGACCCACGTACGAGATGATCGACATCACACCTGCGGGGTGGGTCAAACACGCGGATAGTGATGGACAAACGGCACAGGTACGAGACGACTGACGTCACGTCTGTCGCGGGGCACCTTCATGTAGCGGATGGTGGTGGGCAAGTGACACGGGTACGAGGGGACCCACATGACGTCTGTCATGCAGCACCTTCACGCAGCGGATAATGATGGATAACTGACACGGGTGCGAGGGGATCCACATGACGTCTGTCATGCAGCACCTTCACGCAGCAGATAGTGATGGATAACTGATACGGGTGGAAGAAAACTATTATCACACACATCTGCGCATTCGGATAATCAATAAACCAAGCAAGCTATCATTCCAAACGAGTCAAGAAAAACTTGATGTTTCGTTGCAACTGGTGCAGATATTATTTGAAAATGAGGAACCTGACATAAATCAGCAGCAACATGCACGTATGCTTCTTAGCACCATCACTAAGTTACCCGCCGTCCGGTTAATGCAAATATTTGCCGTCCCGTGCTTCCCTCCCCAGTTCGTTGACGATGTTTGCTTTCCTAAGAAGCAAATATGTTGACGTCACAACGGACCTGCCGAAAAGAGCGGGAGCCCGCCTTTTGCGATGCCTGCCTTTTGGAACTGTGGATACCCACACAGGGAGCCGCTCAAGCATGGGTCGGTGTATTGCGAAACGAATGCATTGGCGCGCTATTGGATGTTGAAAAACCGTCGTGTAAAAGTATAAAACATAAACCACGTTTCTGAATAACTTGGATTAGCGATGCACGGAAAGGAGACAGTCTATAACGAACTGGGCTGTGGTCTCCAAAGTTTTCCTTTTGAATGCTGGTGCCTATGATAGTTCTTCGTGTTGGGGTGTGGCGTGCAGCCGCATTGTAACATGCGTACCTCTAATTTCGGAATGAAACTTTGCGAAATTTATCACATATAGAGCGGAATGCTGGCGGGGTCAAAGCGTCCAGCCACCTTGATACTTCCCATTTAAGGGTCATGCGACGCGACGCAGGCTGACTCTGAGGGTCTGTTCCAGGACTGGAGAGCATCTGTCTACTCTGTTCCAGGTCTGTGATGAGTGTGGAGGATCGCTGGCATACTACTGCACGGTTGGCTGGCAGGTTATGGGTGAATTTCACTTGGGAGATATCGCACGGTCCCTTGGGCAGGAGCGGCTAAGGGAAGTAGTGGGACGATGTACGCTTTGTTGCGAGGCGATTGGCGGAATTGCGATTCGTTGGAAAACACTGGCTGCATTTTGTCATAACGTTCCTACAACACCTTAATGTGAGTTTGTGGGTCGTCAGGTATCGTGCCAAAGACTTGTAGTTTGAAGAAATATTGAGTTGATATGGGTCACGTTGAATGATCAGGGTGTTCCTGTGAAGGCTGCATGCAAAAGTTTGCTGCCTCGTTAGATTTAGCCAGTGACGACTCCAAATGAGAGTATTGCAAGATGTTTATGCGCGTCAGAGGCCCTAGCCATGTGTGTTTCTTGCGGTTTTTATAACGAGTTGTGACGCATCAAAACGCGACTTACGCCAGACTTGCGTCGCCAAGACACAGGATCTACCGGGCCAGAATACGCTTCCTCTGGTGTAGCGACGAACGGATCAGCTGCCTGTCAGGAGGGTGCCGTTGGCGGCGGCGGTTTAGCGACAGGCGGCTCAGGTTTAGCGACAGGCGGCTCAGCTGCCAGTCAGGAGGGTACCGTTGGCGGCGGCGGCTCAGCTGCCTGTCAGGAGGATGCCGTCGGCGGCAGCTGACCTGGCGCCATCATGTAGGCGATGCTGAGGCAGCCGGCCAGGATGGTCATGGCCGTGCTGCGCTCCTCCCGGGTGGTGGCCGCCGCCACGTGGGTCGTGCCGATCTGGAACTCGGCGCCGAAGAAGCCGATCACGAACCGCGAGACGAGCAGCCAGTAGCCGCCGTATATCGGCGCCTGCAGCCGAACGCGCTCTGTCAGAGGCAGCGCGCTACAGCCATGTCGGAGGCTGTACTCAGGAGCAGTCGCGACGCGCGCTGTGGACATGCGTGCACGCTGAAAATTTGAATGCACGCAGTGATAGCCATCGCAAAGTTGCGAAGCGCGACGGTTTTGGCAAAAGCTATAAGATGATGGTGGTGATGAGGGTTGACCATCAACATCATGCCATCATCTCCATCATCGTCATCACCAGCATGAACAGCATCATCATGCTCTTGTGGATCAAACATGCAGGGTCTGTAATATCCTCCACGCTCTTTCCGGCATGGTTAGTGAGCAGTTCAGCTCCGTCCAGTCTCTGACATGGGGTGTGTTGGAAATTACTGCCCGACCGACCTTACTGCCTAGTGCCCCCCCCCCCCCCCCGTCGTGCCTTAGCCTGTCTATTCAGCGCATACGACCTCGGGAGCGAAAACGATAGAAACAGATCACTTCAACCTCGGAACGGTCGTAAGATCATCGCAAACAGCCTCAAGCTCCAATCATTACTTGAAGCGGGCGCACCAACTTGAAGGTTAAGTCACTCTATAGGGGTGGATTCGAAAAGCTGTTTCTGGGCTATTGCTTGGATAAAAGCGGCCAACGGCAGCTTGTTTCGCGATGTGATTTGGTTAGGTTCACACGCACAACTGGCACAAAATCAATCTTGAATCAATGCGGGCCACCAGAGCGAATCCGCGCAGCCTCATGCTTGCTTTTTCCTGTCTGGAAATAGAAGTAAAAAATATACCAGATCCCATGCTTGACCATAGACTAAGTAGGCATTATTCTTCATCGGCACAGAACTCAGTAAGTCGAAGAGCGACTTGACCGACGCATAATTCAAACCATTAATCTGGCGGACATTGCTTTTCAAGTACAGAAGCCGACCTAGTTGGCGGAGATTTGAGCCCAGATTTACTCGAATGTGACTGCACGCAAAGCAAAGCCGGCAGATGTTTTGAAAACGGGCTATTCCATAACTCGCAAGGAACCCTGAGAACCCAGTCGACGATATGCGGGAGCACTATACAATCGACAGGAAAATATCCTGTGACTCATGGTGCTGCTTCGCCTGGCTCCTGTCAGTTCAACAACGGGTTACAACTGTGACACACTGCATTTGAGTAAAAACTGTATACATCTACTACTTACAAGCACAAATCCAAAATACGACTTAAGCTACAAGACTTGAAAAAAACGAATTTGGAAGCGTGACAACGGTCGACATTGTCTACCTAGTTTCGCTCGGTGGTCAACAAATAACTGGCTAGGACCATTTAAACCGAATCACAGTCTGAAGGAAGTTTGAAATTGCGCTGCTTGTCAGCTGTGACTTCATCGCACAGCCTGTTGTCAGTGGTTTGGCATGGCCACTGAGATCCACAGCGCGCCCAGTCACGCAGCCACCCACATGATAAGCAGTAGACCACATGGCGCAGGATGCCAGGATGAATATGCCCGAGATGATGGTCACTGTCCGGATCGAGAGGTGCTTGAGGACCCATCCCACCAGCAGCGCGTTGATTGGTCGCAGCGCCGGAACGCCAACAATAATCCAGCCAACCAGCGTCTTGGACGCGTTCGGATCCAGCGACTGGAGGTAAGGCCACGTCGGCGGCATCACCATGGCAACCACAGAGAAGTAGACAAGAGTCTTGAGGTAGATGATGAATAGGGCTGTCTTGCGTCGCTGCCTCTCAGGCCAAGTCTCCAGGTGGCTGGTGGGGAACGTATTCTTGTTTGGTCTGCTCTCCTTCCATTTCTTCAGCTTCACGATCACAGACATGCTGGTTGAGCTGGCAGCACCGACTAGCAGCGCCCCGGGTGAAAGAGAGTGACAAAATGTGCGCCTGTCCACCTCGGGAACGCTACAGAGGCGTCTCCGGCGGGCCCATCCGAAGACAGGGGCAGACGCCGAAAACAAGGTCAATGAGTGATTGTGAACTTGATGCTGTGCAGGTCCCCTCGTTTTGTCTGCTGATGAGCTCTATTCTGTTCAGCTGCGCATATCGAACACACTGCGTGAGCCTCCTTATTTCGTGGTCCGGAGACGCCCCTGTTTGCGGCGGTAATCAAGGGCAGCTGGGCGAGGAGTATGCACACTTGTCTAATGGGACCGGCCAGGCAAGTGGACAAATGTCCCCGCCGTGAACGAGTGCGTGTCGGGGAATGACAGAGAATGAGTCGGCGTTGACAAAGGAGAAAGGAAAACACGGTTTGACGTAAATCACACAAACGCTGCCGTGCCAAGCTGTTCTGAGATCGTATAACATTTACGTCACCTTCATGGTAATATACATATTTTTACAGTGCGATCATCAGTTGTCATTCATGGAATGAGCCCAACCTACAGCTATTTGGGGATCTCACCGCAAGGTTCTTTGTGCAATGCGAGTACCAAGTCACAAAAAATGCCCGAAAACGCTAGAGACAGCAAACTACCTTATTTTCGGAACCGTGGTCGTCGTCTGTGACGTTTTAATGGAACTCAGCCAACGCTGTCCGCTTATCAGTGACGTCACGGCCAATCAGGGAAACCAGCTAGGACAGGTATACGTGTCGTCCCAATTGCGTCACGGGTGGCAACATTTGTGGTAATGGCTTTCCGCGCATCCAGTACCTTCGAAGCGCGTATGTAATCAACTCGATCCGCAAGTTGTGCTCAATGGCCGGAACTCGTCGGCCAATTTCGCAGGCCATCATCCTTTTTCTGACCCTTTTTCAGCGAAATGATGTCAGTATGGTTGCATCGGTGCACAGACAGGAAGGCATTGAGCGTGTGAAGCCTTCACAGGCGCCTGCGGGAGCCATGCATCACACAGTGCGGGAGCCTGGCATCTGCATGGGCGCCGGACGACCGCCACTATCGGATGGCTGCCCGACGGTGCGGCCGCCGTGACCTAAGCATCGACCGGCGACCCGCCAGCTCTTTATCATACCTCGACACAATGGCTGCGCACCGCCAGAACGTATTCGCGTCGGTACGGGTCTCATTGAGGGGCACTTTCGCCGCGGGACCGGCGGTATGCGCGCGCCCACTGCCGTGTACTCGGTGCGCCAAATATGCCCAGGCTTCGACCAACGACGCCTCGGCGCCCGAAGAGTGCGAGGGAGACGCCTCGGGCGCTGTCGTCATGGCAACGGATCAACAGCGCGAGGCGGGGCGGCGGTCGGCGGCGCCAACGCAGTGTTGTGTTATCCACGGTCGCCTGGGGTGACAGCGGACCGACCGTGTGCGTGGCAAGAACAGGCAGCCGGACACACGCTGAGCCGACATCATGGCGTGCATGAGCACTTGCTGCTGCTGCTTCACCACCTACCAGGGCAGCATCATAATCGGCGTGTTGACACTGGTAAACGCCTCGAGGGGTGTGCGGCGGGCTCGCGCTCGGACGCCGTCGTGGCGATGGGGAGGGGGAGGCTCGAGGGATGTTCCGGACCCGTTGGTGGTTCCCTGGATGGCGTGGGCGTAAAACCAGTCAAATTAAACGGAATGTTCCACATTTGTATGGGGTCTTGAAGTAAAATAGCTATCTTGAAGACTACACGGTGTGGTTCACGTTCTCCCTTCTTAAGACCTAAACCCCTCTAGTTTCTGAGTTACATGCCCGCGAATATGTGCAGGCTTTTTCGGGGAGATGGTTTCAATGTCACCCAGGTATCCGTGACCTCATAATGACGTCATTCAAATCCTGTCGTTTCATTAGCCATGCAGCGATCAAGTCCAGTACAAGTATAATTGTCCAGTCGTTCATATCCGGCGTTCGTGAGTACGATTTCGAGATGCAACGGCCGTCAGTTGTCTCTCAATCAATGTTGTGGAAGGTACGATGACGTAATCAAACAATGACGTATTGAGCATATTTCCTAAACGGGTGTTGTCTGGTGCAGTCTTTTCCACCAAAAAGTATGCCAATTATCGCGACTGAGCTTATTTTATTGTTTGATACTTCCTTACATATGTCCAGATGCAAAACATTGCCTTTAAGCAATGATCGCATAAGAAGATGGCTCACATGTTTTTGTTTTGTTTGTTGTACCGGGTGGCCGGCACATTCCGGAGCAATGCATGATCTAATGAATATAATTGCGGCTTCCGCGTGAGGAGGTATAGTTGACGCGATATTTTCATGAAGACCATAAGCCATTTACTTGCCATGTCCTCGTTCTGATCGTACTGAAACCATATCTCAGAGTGCCCCTTTCCTAAACAATTGTGGGCGGTTTTGTCCGTTTAGCGCTTCATAACACCTCGAATATGCGGAAAAGGTTGCGTGCTAGGGTGGGTGGCCACGGGCGTAGTTTCGCAAAATGAGCGCGCGCGCGCGTGTGTGTGTGTGTGTTTGTGTGTGTGTGGGGGGGAAGGGGGTCTAAGCCGAATGAGTGGGGGGAGAGGCTGAAGCCCCCAACTGAAAAGTAAATTACACTCCTGCGGGTGGTTGAAAGACATTTATAATTACGTTTACGTTATAACGATGCGCATTACCCAATACATTTTGTCGACCAAATCCTTGATTGATTCGTCCGCTGTCCAGCTTTAGTTGCATTTTTACGAAAATGGCTTCGCTGTGTAATCATGACGTTGACGTCAGCTGGTCCTCCATCGGTCCTAGCGTCACCTGTCCCCTATCAGTCCTGGCGTCAGCTGGTCCTCCATCGGTCCTGACATCAGCTGGTCCTCCATCGGTGCTGACGCCAGCCAGACCTTCATCGGTCCTGAGGTCAGGTGGTTGGCTCCATCGGTTCGGACGTCCCTCGCTGCCTAGCTGCCGCTCTCTCAATTGTGTTTTACATTTTCCCGCCATTCTCCACCGAGCTCGTGACCTCAGCTACCCGCCCCTCTCCCGCGCCGCTCGGTGTGACGGTGACGTCAGCCGGTTCTTCACCAGCTGCCCAACATCGCCGGCATTGGCATACTGTCACACCTGCTGAACGTCTGGACGGCGGTGGAGTCGGACGTGCATACATGGGCACTCAACGTCACCGGCTCGCTGCAACAGAGCAGCGTCCAGATCGCCGGCGTCTCGGACTTCGTCAACAGCGCCGCCACAGGTCAGACCAGTGACGTCAATCCATCACGCGTGACGTCACCGGTAGACTGTGGGGTGCTTAGGTCCAGATCGCCGGCGTCTCTGACTTCGTCAACGGCACCGCCACAGGTCAGACCAGTGACGTCAGTCCATCACGCGTGACGTCACCGGTAGACTGTGGGGTGCTTAGACATGACGTCCTTGTTGGCATATCATCTGCACTGTGATGGTCGTTTGCCGTCGCACTCTAACGTTTGCAGATGTGATCATCGTTATGGGCGTCATGCTGTTTGTTTCACCTGGGATCATCTCGTTGACAGACATGCACACCGTATGCGTAGTGCTGCTCATCTACTGCGTCATCACCAGCGCGTCGTGCCTGATGGTCATCACAGGCACTCATCAGGTCAGTACCTGAGGGCAGCAGCTTGGCAAACCTCCGAATGGGAAGAGAACTCTAGTCAAGGCGGCCAGCGCCCACGCAGAGGCACATACTCCGAGGTATGTTACGTCGGAAGTGGGTAATGTGCTCCCTGCTTCGGCAAACATCAGGTGTTCTGAACCCGATCTGGTGCTGTTTAGCTCATGTTTACCTAGGTCATGGAGATGGATGATAAACGCTGAAATGAGCCATTAGGGGAGGGATCACAATTATCAAAAACCGTGGGTAAGTTGCAAATTGAATGGGTGGCCACCCATTGGATGACGCAGTAGATGGGTGGTCACAATGGGTGGAACACCACTTCATTGCGATTTTTTCGTCCTTATGTGATACCAGTGGTTTGATTTTTTGCCCCCGCCTTGATCTGGTTGAAGTTCCCTTTAATGAGCTTTGGCCGCTATTCACGCCAGCTGTGATCACCACACATCGCACATCTACATCAGGGCCTGCCGTGAAAAGTCAGTAAATAAATGTGAGGGCAACTTTTCATGACGTATAAAAGGGCAAAATAGACATCCTTTGGTTCAGGCAGGCCTCAGAAAATGAAAAAGCCGACTTCCCACCTGAAGCATGTTTTTTTTCGTGGATCACTTAAGGGATGATATTGAACATTTATCAGAAAGTGAAAGAGCCATGACTTCCCTGACCCCTCACATCAGTTCCATACGTCCATGAAGAAATGCCACCCTCCTCCCAAAATAGGCATATCGCATCATTTAAGGTCAATTATTCCCATTCGACCCTACGGTGACGATGCCAACATTGCTAGCATTGGGACGGGTGAGCCCACCGGGCTACCCAGGCAATGACGTTCCGGCGCCTGGGCTCGAGCGATTTTAGTTCGTATCAGTCATGCGATGCACATGCTCCTCTGCAGTTCTCCAGAATCATGAGCGGTGCGTGCATGCCGCATGCTACGAGTTTTTCATCGATCAAGTTTCCAGGATGCGACCCAATCCAGTCAAACGATCTTAAATGTACTCCGCTCTTCGATCCTGTCCTTCCAAAATTCCAGATATAATTCGGTCCGACGTGTAAGGGAAAACGGTCACCCTACACAATCCGTATAAATCTAGTACATTTCAGTAAGGTCCAACATAAAACTTCAAAGCTTGCAAATATGGCCATATCAGCTCTTCTCAAGTTCGGGATTTTGATTTCGCTTAAGTCTGCAGTCTTTTACAACAATTTCATACATGCCTTTCTTCAAATCAACATAAAAGCTCAGTGCGCATGATAATTAACCGACCTTCTCAGAGCATCAGAAAACAGTGCGTCACGCATCACAAAAGTCGTCATGCCTCGGCTGTCATGGATAAGAACATTGATTCCTGAGTCAAATACGCCATTTGCACCCGAAAGCCTCCATTTGGCACGGCTGGGGAAGGCGTGGCCATAGCCTTTACGAATTTGTCTTCGATCCGTGTCCGCTGCCGGCTGTTGAACTTTGCCCGCCGTTAAACGCTCTGTCGGTACCCCGCGTCGCCTGGTAAATGGAAGTGCTGTGTCCTCAGCAGAGCAAGCTCGGGTGACAAAAGCTCGTGCTGCAGCGTATTGATCCAGTTGCAAAGCCCAAAGCACATGCAACCTTGTCATTGCATCCAAGATCAATGGGTAATAAGCTCCAATCCTTTGTCTAGCCCGCCGCCCCGAAGTTCTCCAACTGACAAAAAGAACGGAAACTTGTGGTGAGGTGGGAAAGGTTTCGTGACGTACTTTACGGTTGACGTTCGTATTTTCTATGTCTTTATTCTTTCTGTTTCTACGTGATCATTTTCTATGTGTGTGTCCGACATTTTATCTGGCTGGCTATGTCATGGTACCAAAACTAATTTAGAATGACAACCCACTTTACCTGTCACATTGATATAATATCCATGTTTAAAGATATTAATTATCATAATTATGGCATGAAAATCAGACATTTCCCTTCAGTCTCTGTATCTAACGTTTTTTAGTGGGAGACGGACTACCTACCGCAAATTTTCAAGCATGGATGACTTCATCAGCGGTGGGTATCCTCAAAATTACATGTTTTTCCGATTTCAGAAAATTGGGCTTCGACACTTAGCAAACACGAATGAGGGTGTAAGTTCGCAATGATATCTTAAAAAAGGAAATTCATTTGAGCGAAATGCGATCTTATCTGGTGTCAGAAGTACACCTCTTACCATGTGACGTTGCCGTCTGTGAGACATTAGACTTTTCTCCTGTCGTCACTGAGCATTCCTCGGCTCATATAGAACATCCAAGTGTTTATACATATACTTGGATGTTATATATTGGCCGAGGAGTATTATATATATATATATATATATATATATATATATATATATATATATATATATATATATCTCTCTCTCTCTCTCTCTCTCTCTCTCTCTCCTCTCTCTCTCTCTCTCTCTCTCTCTCTCTCTATCTATATATCTATATATCTATATTAAGCGATTTTTATATATACATTTATACATACATATATATATATATATATATATATATATATATATATATATATATATCATACGCGTGTTCATTCATACCGAAATTCCTCCTCTCAAATTGTTAAGGTGCCTTCCTGAACAGGTACTAAAAACTTGTACTCTGGAAGTTCATTCCTGCGGGCCTGATGGACAAATGTATTGCCTAATTGAAGGTGGTGCGATGGGCTCTCTTCTTGGACCTTTATTCGCTTATTTCTGCATGGGACATGTAGAAGCCGATGCGCCACAAAGGTGATGTCATAAGACCGAGCATTTACTGTTGTTATGAAGGCGGCTTGTCTGTGGAGGTTATTGACAATGACTAACTAGAGCGTCTCAAAAATATCTTTGAAGAACAGTTTGGTCCGAAGTTAACATAAGAATAAAGCGTTGAAAATATAATACCCTTTATTGACGTGACTGTTGATGGGCAAGGACAGCGATTAAGAACGACTGCATACCGAAAGCAAACTAACAACGGACGGTGCTTAAATGCTGGCAGTGAGTGTCCTCTACGCCACAAAATTAGCGTCATAAGTTCATTTCACAGAGACGCATTGAAGCATTGCTCTGATTGGTCATGATTGCATCCGGCATTGGTACGAATCAAACTGATGTTGGTGAACAACGGTAATTCAAATTCCGACGTTGGAAACGAAATACAGCGCCACATGACAAGAAACTTTGACAACAAAACAAAACAAAAGCCAAAACAAGACGAAAAAAGCTCTACGAGAAATTATCTCTGGACATATAGAAGGCAAGAACGACAACAAAATAGACATTATCATCCATTTTCACAATATAAAAACCTCTAACTTTCTATCAGCAGCATCCCAGACAAACCCAACAAACTAAAATACACCAGTGTAGTGTATCCATTCCAATGCAACATCGAAGGCTGCCAACTTCGTTTCATACACTACATTGGTGTAACTACGACACCCTCACGACGCCTGACAACGCACTCGCGTGACGCAGCACATGCGACACGAACAGGACACGACATTGGCACGGAGCACATGCGACACGAACAGGACACGACATTGGCACGGAGCACATGCGACACGAACAGGACACGACATTGGCATGACAACAGCTGACGGGCGGCACTGACATGTTTCAGACATGCAGTAACAGATGACGCTTTCAAGTTTTGGAAAGCATATGTGTTAACGAACTCTCTCCAGTCCTACACTGACAAATACATTGTTGCACGACCTTAGAGTTTCAAATGGCGGGCTGTGGATATACAGATGTGATCCCAGCGATGTGTTCGTGACTTGTAACGTTTTCACTAGGGGGGATTTTATGTGTAAAAGCAATGAGAGGATTTTGTTTTACTTCAATTGGACATGCTTCATTTCGCTTCTCCGTGCTAAAAAATGTTCCAGGTAGTAAGGCACAATTTTCATCCTTCAAAACTCAAAATTATTTCTTATACTAAATCGAGCTCAGATGCTGTTAATGGGCCGATGAGCGCTAAGAGATAGCGGGAAAAGAGTTAAATGTCTCACAGGTGACAACGTCACATCGTGAGTAGTGTGCTTCAGACACCAGACATAGATTGCATTTCTCACAGCTGAAAAAAAAATTGTTTAAGATGTCAGTGCAAACGTCCACTGCCATTCGTGCTTGCAAAATATTAAAGCCCAATTTTTCTGGAATCGGAAGAACGTCGAGATTTTAAACATCCACACGCCCTACTGAAAGGATCAAAATTTGAAGGTCTGCAATGGGCAGCTCCCCCCCCCCCAAAGTTAGATGCATGAAAATATATTATATGTTTGTATATATATATATATATATATATATATATATATGTATATATATATATATATATATATATATATATATATATATATATATATATATATATATATATATATATATACATGTGCTCCATTGAAAATGACAGCATATTTGGCATTTAATTCCTTGTTAGATAATGGTCCACTTCTCCTCTCCGAATTAGTCGTTTCCCATCATCGGAAAACTATTAAGAACGGTGCTACATTATTTCGTAACTTTTCATTAATCTTGCCAAATCATCAAACAACCAAGGCGCAACTACACATTACAAATGCGAAACATTCGTGATCACGTCGGCTCAAAATTACATTGCTGTTTTTCCCTTTCCCAGAATTGATCATTTGGTTTTATGAACAAGCTAATATCATGCACATTACTAATGGGCACATGGTATAAGGACAAACACTGGTTAAGCCTTTACCAGGCTTGGTCGCCCCCCCCCCCATTTTACGGTCTGTTTCTAGGTGCCAGAGGCTGCCTATCCCACCACCACAGTGTGCCTCGTATATCCATCCGTCAGTTGATTGCTGGATCTTCGTCCCGGGTACAAACAGGTTCCAGCACTTTGAGCTTCACTTTTTGCATAGATTTAGCCAGTGTGGTGGTATTTTCCACCAATTCGCATCAAAATAGAATCCTTACAGGAGCTAATGCCACACACCGCTGTGGTGCACCGTCCTGGAGGCACATCGTCATCCGTCTTGATGGCGTATCTGTAGTGTGGGAGATGTGCAAGTTTGGTCCACGCACTTAGTCGCCGATAAGGTGTTTGAACTCGTAGACAACGTTGACTATTTTCAGCAGTGAGTAATTTGTTGACAGGCTACTCTGGTTTGTAATCAGTTCTATCGAACCTGAGTGTGAAGATCCGACAAGTTTCCATCGATCCTTATTATCAAGGACCGTATCGGACCTTACAACCTGTCAACAAATAACTCGTTACACATGAACAACGTAAAGCAGGACAAATATCAAACGTCGTGTGTGGCTGCCATGAAGGTAAAGCTGAAATCGTCTAGCATATACAAGGTATACCATATATTTAGAAATATACGTGGTTCATCGCAACGGAAATGGCTGTACATGAATAGTATCCAGGCATTCGCTCTCGGTGCCTAATTCCAATAGCAGCTTCGAAATGACAGCCAGGAACCGAATATATGGATAAAACACCTGTTCCATCCATAGTTACCGGTTAAGACAGATATTTAGGACAAGATGTAGGCCGAGATTCGTGCGGAGACTTCGATGCACCACAACAATTTTCATCGCTTTAGTTATTAAGTTTTAAGTCGCCTCAACTGCCCTGGCTTTTTGCTATTTCAAGCGCTCTTAACACCAAATAGAATGCAACACCAATCATCAGACCTTTCATAATAGGATGAACATGGACATGAATAGCACCATGAACAGGACCAAGGCTGCCAATGACGAAATTTGGAAAAAAAAGCGATGTTCGTATTTAGCCTGTGCTGACGGCACACCCAAGCGTCCATTCCATCGGCATGTAACCCGACCGTCAGGTCGGAAAACGCCCAGTTACAGCCGCCGTTTTCACAATAGGACTCTCACAAGGCACCAGCCGCGCATCCCATTTGTATCTGAGGGGCAGGGCTTTATTCCTCATGTAAAAACTTCAACCAATATTGAAGCGATCGGCAACTTTATGCTAGAAGCGCTTTGTTCCCGCTTCTTAGGGCAACGTTCCACATCTGAAGATAGTGAGGCAAGCATCAGAATCATTGGTACAAGTACGAGTGCAAAGTACAAAGGACTGCTCTTGACAACAAATTTGCTCTTTTTAGTAGCTATGGTCCTCAATACGTCATCGTTTGATTGCGTCGTGTAACGCTGGTATGATGTCAGAATAGCTGCCAAACTGGCCGCGCTCAATCGCCACCGAAGCGGATGGGATGACTCACTTGTAGTGCCTTAACTTGTCGAGAGGCGTCGTGCTAATCGGTACGTTGTCTGCATGAACCCAATATCGCCATCTGGATGTGGTTTGGCACTTTATCAAAGTAAATCGACTCCCAGTCTTATGTTCGTCATAACTCGTACCACTGCCCAAGTTCTGCCCTGTCTTATAAAGTTCCGTATTACACCACTGCCCTGCGTTCTTTAGCACCAAACTCGATCCGTGTTCGGAGCCTGCACATAACGCATCACCTTGGTCCAGGGCCAAGCCAACTGACGTGCGTTGATGTCAGAAACCGTGCTAACATACGCAAAACACGAATAATTCGATGACAATATCTTTCGTGGACTTGAACACTACATGGACAACAAGGTAGCAGTAGTCGTGTGACGTTTCTAGGACATCATGCATGCCCGTGTGACCTTCAAAAGTCAGCACCAAATAGCATGCCCAAGTTCACGGACGTGAAGCTCAGTAAAACAATCTTAAGTCTCAAAAATGGCAGGGCTGTGAACTGCACTGAATGACAATTGAAATGGTTTCCTCAGTTCAAAACGCCAAACAAATGTCGGACACTCCCCTTAAACTACCTTTTTAGAACGCAGCTCATACGTTCTGGAGATTCAGACGGTGCCGGCAACATTGGTGACCGGTGACAGGTGCTCAACGGACGGCGTCCTGTACTGGGTACGTTGGCCCGTATTCCGTGAGTTGAAACCGGTGCATACCAGTAACGGAACTAGCCAAACGAGGTCAGTTATACGTCAGCAACCACACATTTCACCTAGCACAGGCGTCATACCAGCGTCAGGTTATCACACCAGTCCTTTGCATCATTGGTGGCCGGCGGCCAGACCTGATAAATCCTGGGTGTCGCCTCAGGGCTCCCACCATTGGTGGCCGGCGGCCAGGCCTGATGTGTCCTGGGTGTCGCATCAGGGCTCCCACCATTGGTGACCGGCGGCCAGACCTGATGTGTCCTGGGTGTCGCCTCAGGGCTCCCACCATTGGTGACCGACGGCCAGACCTGATGTGTCCTGGGTGTCGCATCAGGGCTCCCACCATTGGTGACCGGCGGCCAAACCTGATGTGTCCTGGGTGTCGCCTCAGGGCTCCCACCATTGGTGACCGGCGGCCAGACCTGATGTGTCCTGGGTGTCGCATCAGGGCTCCCACCATTGGTGACCGGCGGCCAGACCTGATGGGTCCTGGGTGTCGCCTCGGGGCTCCCACCATTGGTGACCGGCGGCCAGACCTGATGTGTCCTGGGTGTCGCATCAGGGCTCCCACCATTGGTGACCGGCGGCCAGACCTGATGTGTCCTGGGTGTCGCATCAGGGCTCCCACCATTGGTGACCGGCGGCCAGACCTGATGAGTCCTGGGTGTCGCTTCAGGCCTCCCGCTGCATGCTGCTGCCCTGGCTGACCGTCACGCTGCTCCGCCTAGTTGCCTGCATCGTCGGCGTCATTATGTACCTGTACATAGTCTGCAACATCGATGACGGCGTCGTCGTGAACCAGCTCCTCGGCTTCGGCATCATCGAGGTCCCGGAAATAGGTGGGTGCGGCTCTCGTTTGCCCTAGCGTGTAGGCGAGCCTCGGCTCCCATTTTCAGCCGAATCCATGCGGCAGTGGCGTCGCGACACCATGAATCTCGCGTCTCCATTCGGTCCCTGGTCGGGCCCCGGTCCCAGGGCGATTCCGTGCTGATCGTCTGGCAACTGTTGCCAACGGCGGCTTTGATCCGAGTCCGAGATCCGAGTGGAACTTTTGGCAAAAAGCCAGAAGTATGCCATTCGTCAACAAGTTCAATTGTTTCATATATCATTTACTGATATAGCATCCATATCTAGCGTGTGTTGTACTGGGCACTAAATGGCCGCAGAAGGCGGAGCGCCCGAGATCCCCAACAAACATGGTGTATTTGTAATCGGCTGGAGGCATATGCATAAATTGCACTCGTTGACATTTTTAAAACGACAAATGTGCTATAATATGGGCACTGCACGGAACTGCACTGCACTGCCTTGAATACTGTGGCTGAAGAGGGAGAGGTAGGAATGTTGGATAGCTCCCACCTTCCACTTAGCATAGACCAGTCGCTTCCGTGACTTCTAGCCCCGTTTCTGTGTCCAGCTTCCGTGACTTCATGCCTACCTTCCGTTTCGTGTCGAGTTTCCGTGACTTCGTATCTAGCCTCTAGATCATGTGATACGTTTTATGTTACAGTTTTCTCATCCTACTTCTGGCTGTGTGTGTTCAGCCACTACCACCATCTGCAGCAGCTGGAGGAGCAGGTCTACCCGATGGGCGAGGAAGAGCCCGTGGAGGTCCTTCCACCAGTCGACAGCGACGAGAAGTTCTGAAGTTAGAAAAAAGCTGGCACGGTGACCACCAGATCATCCCTGCAGTATTTTTGAAAGCCGCGAATCTTTCCACCAATCATGTGGAGCGTATTTTGATTTTTTTACACGGGCGCGGGCGCATATTCTGCATTTTATGCCGGAGAAACATTCTACCAATGCACACAAACAGGAAACATCTGAACGGCAGCGACTGATGCAACTCAGTAGAAACTGACGTTAGCTTTAATACACACTATCATCATGCGTATAATTATACTGTGACTGCCGTCGGAACGTAGTGTGGGAATGTCTAGTAGCATCCGACGCCGAAGAGGATCGGGAATTTTGAAAAGCATGTAACGATTTGGGTTTGAAGAGGAACCTCTTAAGCAAAGACGATTTACAGTGCAGCATTAGGTACTTACGTTTCGGTACCGAATGGTGACATCTGTGCCTATATATCTCCCCGTCGTTCTGTCGACAGATGATGCGGTGTCCTAGATGTACACGATTATGGGACCACTGTATTTCTATGACCTTAGATTGGCCCTTGATCACACCAAATGATGGTTTATAACCGGCGCGTATACCAGTATGCTATGAATGGCACCGCGACCCTTTCCACACTGAGGCAATGTATATGATTGTAATGATAAAAGACGCTCAATCCCGATATTTCTACCTCTTTAGTTCGGTTTGACCCAATCATTGGCTGCTCTCAACGGCGTTCAACGTTGCTAGTTTGGTTCAGGTTTGCGAGAAACGTTCCTGGCTGTTTTGAACCCGGCTCCAGCACGTTTACGTTTTTGGAAAACAAGGTCTTGTAAGGCCCTTGCCCTAATGATGTGAGATAAAGGTTCCTCAGTACGGATAATTAAAGCACGATATATTTCCTCCAGCTTTGTATCCCCTGGATTTTTGACAGGCACCACATGCCTGCCCACAATCTTTCTTACTCCTTGTTAACACGCAACACAATATTTGTCCCAAACACTCACGTACAAACATTGGCATACACTGGACTATAATGTGATTACACCCAAGGCGAAGAGGTCACAGCAGCGCTTAGCTGCACGCAATGATACTGACCCGTGTCAAATCAGCCTGTTAGAGATAGTGCATCCTCACACGTGCCGGTAAATCAGTAAAACGTACTCGCGCATCGTCGTGCATGTACGACAATCTTTATCACCCTTGGGCTTCGCTGTTCAGAACATTTTTGCCGCATTTTTCCGTGAACCGCTGTTTATGCTGCTCGCCTCTGTAAGCTTGTATTGCATTCGTTCTGTTTGAAAGAATTGTTCTAAGAGCACCCGAAATACTTCGAAGGAAGGGCTACCTTGTTTTCTTCGCTGCAAGTGGACATATCTTTTAGCTTGGAATGTCACGATATTTGCAACATATGGGAAGATTGGATGACCAAATAGCACGGCGCTCGTGTGAGGCCTGATTCGGGTGGGTCTAACGCATCGGTATACAGTAGGTGATGTCATGCTCGAAAAGGCACGCACGGGCTCGCAGTTGAAAAAGTAGTGCAGTCATGTATAATTTTCTCCACAGTACTTGTATGCTGGTACTTCCATACCGTGTATCACGTGCGAGAATCGTTTATTGGGTATATACCTATGAAAGATCTGTACTTGACGTGACTCTAGCTGGGTGGAGGCACACCGGCGGTAAGCGATTTCGAGGTCCCTTGCCTATGTCTCCCGGGCCCGTCCCTCGGTCTCGTAACCGGCCTCGAGTACCCCTATCTTACATAGTTGTCGCTAGATGTCGTTGCTCGTGGCAAACTATGGATTAAGCTACGCCTGAGCCGAAGGCTCTCGTGCATTCTCATTGACAAAGACATTCAGCTATTTGTGCGTATCACACAGACAACGCAGGAAGCCGAACTGTTGACTTGGAGAGGAACACTGTGAGACGATCATCAGGCGGTTTCAATAGCGTCACAATGTCCTATAATTGCACAAAGCAAGTTATCACTTGCCTCCAGTGCAACATGACATCAATGCTAGCTGGCAGGAGTCTGCAATTCTCTGGGAGGGCATAGAGCCTAAAAATTTGCACCCTTTTATTGCAATGTCCAAGCAATCCCGAAACTCGCAAGAATGCAATGCAAACCACAAAGCTTACGTGCGTTGAAGCGGTGGCCACGTATTGCAAACATGGACCCCGAAATTGCTTCGACCTGACCCACCCGTGGCGTCGTAATATTTACATCGCAAACATGAACCATTTCAATATCACCTATGACCTTTTCACGAAGGATCCCGGCATGAAGTATCTCAAGACATTTCAAAAAAGTTCTTAGATGCTTAAGGAGACACAATCTCCTCGCCTTCGCGTAATGGTACATATGCACAATTCTGATCAATTTCTATCAAATGCAAGGTCTGTTTCGATGGCTTAGGTGTTCAGAGCGCATACCATCCGATTCGCCCATCCGTGTCCAGGTCGGTTCAGTCGCTTGCATTTTCCACGGACTGGGATGGCTCGCGGCCGGTGGCAGCGGCCGCCCTGAAGGTCAGATGACGTCAGAGGGGACGGCAAGACAGACCACGCCGAAGACCGCGGCACGTTAAGCTTTCGTTGTAAAATTCTCCTTTTGACGCGGAAGTTAACGATCGGATGGAGCGCGCGGGGTGGGTCAGCACTCGCGCAACAATCCCCACTTAGCGTGGGCGTGGATCTAAAGAATTTAGCCGACGAAAGGGTTCGGACTTAATCTTTAAAAAAAAAACAGGAAAAGCTCGCCGGCCGCAATGTGATGCAAGTGACGGACAGTTTGGTGCAATCTTTGGCATAAACATATCCGGATTGTGTAGTACGTTTCGTGATCGCGATGTTTTTCTTCAGGAAATGTGTTATCAAAATGCGGTCGATATTGATGTACAATGCGAACACCGCGTTGGCTGCATCCTCCATTTTCCGTACCCGTCTTTGTGGCCTGACACCGACGATTGTTATTATTTCCACTCTGGCCTTTGATGTTGCCCTTCGAACCAGGTGTGGTCGGCGACGCTGAACTTCGAATCCCGTGTTGCCGACCGCGTCTAGTCCGGAGGTCGCCGTCAACCAGAGTGGAAGCGACCAAACACGGACCACTACCAAGGGATGCCGAAAACTAATTAGTCTCTCCACATGCCACTGACAGAAACCTACAAAATGGAAAACCGGGCCATCAACGGCAGCTTAATCGTGCGTAATTCGTGTGTGATCGTACAAACCAGCACTGATGTAAGTCATATACAATTCCTCACATGTTACGCATTTAAAACGTTTATGGTCTGTGCGGAGCGGGCGCCTGGCTGTTGTGTTGACCTATACGCTGTGATCATAGATTAGGTTAACAGTATTGTTAGGGGTAGTCCGGTCCGGGTCGCGACCCTTATCCCCACGCATTAGACGTGATCGGCACACAGCGGACGCGGCGGATCAGTCGGACATCGCTGCACGTGACGATGTGCCAGACGTCATTTGTTTATCATGAAGTCGTGCGTGTCGTAACGTTTAATAAAGAGAAACCGCAACCGATGTCTTTTTGCCGCGTCATGTATGTGCACACGGTTGGGGGATATACAGCACATCGCACAGTGCCTGTATAAAATAAGTGAAGGCCGGGACGTAAACTAGGACGGAATTAGAGCTGACATAGATTCAAACGTGCTATGACCATGCGTAGACGTGAATGCATTTACATGGTACTGGTTATACAAAAGGCCCCAAATGTTCTGGTATTTAAGCGTTACGAGATCTCATTATAAAATAACTTACGATGATGAAATAGAGGACCAGAGCACCCGACCAAAACGTGCCACTGGCTGAAGGAAGTGTTCCATATTTGAAAATATCGAGGCGAGCATTAGATGTGCCGAAATAAGCTCACTTGCAACTATCAATATGATTCTAGGTGCAAAGAAGTGCTCTAGAAAAAAATCACCACTTGGGAAAAATACTCCTCAATACGACATCGATTGATTGCGTCACGGAACGTTTGTATGTCGTCAAAAGCGCTCCCAAACAGGCTGCGCAACTTGCCACCGTAGCGGACAGGCTGACTCACTAGTGGTACTTCAGCTTCCCGAAAGATGTCTTGCTGATCGGGGCGGTGTTGCCAGAACCAAAATATCGTAATGTGCGCATGTTTTGACCGTTTCTCGTGGCGCTCTTGCATATTAAATCGTGGTTCATATTGTTTGCATGCATCCGCCTGCTTGGTTATGGTGCTTTTTTCGATTATTCGATTCCCAGCTTTGTATTATGTAGCTCGAAACTACACAACTTTTCGAAACCTGCATAACATTTGGCGAGAGCCAAATCAGTTCCTTTGGTGCCAGATGTCCTGCTAATGTACGTCTGGCACGAATAACTCGACGATCATGTTTCTCTTGGCCTTAAGCACCATATGGTCAACGGGGTGGCAGTATTTGCGTAACGTTTTTATGGCGTCATGCACGCCTGGGCGACATTGAGAGTCTGCACGACATAGGTTGAATAAGCTCGCGGACGTCTAGCCCAGAAACCAGGGGGTTTGCGCTTTACAAAGGCAAGTCTGTGAACTGCAGTGAACGATCTTCAAAATGGCATCTCATTTCAAGACCCCACACAAAAGTGAAATGCTCCGTTTAAACGAAAACGTCGAGCAATCACTGGGATATATTACATAAATGTTTTATATGTTTGGCAATGATCATGTTACTGGCAAGTGTCGCGGCTACTTGCACTTGTGACCATAAAGACAGCTAGAAGCGTCGAACATTCTCATCTTATATCCCAATGACTGCTTGATTTCGTCGTTTAATCAGTACGTCTTTTGTACTGAATGCTGGTGACATGCTTGCTTTATAGACGAATGGTTCCAGCAAGCGGACAGGAAAAAAGGAGTGCGGTTTTAGGTGTGGTAAAGTTTGCAGGTTTCAAATATTTTGGCACCGATTCATGACCATCATCGGTACGCCATTGCGTTAAATCCACAGACGTCCAAATCCGAGATGTGTTGCTAATATACCCAATAGCATGCAACGATGTTGCTGAACAATCATTTCACCCCCGGTGTGCGTGGAATACCACTTCAACTGCGATGCTTCCAAATTCATTTCGATAGCTCTATCGAACGTATCGAGCCAGTGGCGTAAGTTGCTCTATTTACATCACTGGCTCTGTGTCCAGGAGCGGCGGAAGCGGCGGAGGACCGCAGGTGGCTGCCGACACCAAATCCAAAGACTCGACATAGCCCTGCGGCGTTACACAACCACCAACTGGTTAAAACTCGCGTTTTCTCCTTATTATCTCAGCTAGGAAGCGGCGCCAGTGTGCGCGCTGGCTGCCATCATGGCCTCGCCAGGCTTCATCACTCCCGGCGGCACAGCCAAAGGTCGCTTACTGCAGCACGCGGCAAGTGTCACCGCCGGTGACAACATCGTCAACACGGAAGCACCCAGGCGCAGCGCATCACGTTATCCCACTCGCACACCTACTACAGCAGTGTTTTATTCACACATTGCCGCGGTCCTGGCCCTGCCAGCTGCCTGGTGTGTCCATCAAGATAATTGCTGCCATTGCTGGCCCTGGACAGCTAATGGAAATAATTACCATTGAGGTCCAGCACACCGGCCGTGCTATTATGCATCATTGTGGGCGCGAGCAGCACGTTCACTAACGATGCGCTGCTTCTTAATGATAGCCACTGGTGCGCACCAAACAACATGCTACAGGGGTGACGAGTGATGGACTGGGCATCGATGATGACCAAGGGTCCGACCATGAAAGTTGCGCTTGCTTGAAGCTTGTGTCCAGTTCAATTCCATGCAGCAACGCGGCGGAAAAGGAAGGGGCAAAAGTACATGACTCCCGGTGCCCACGCCATATTCTTGAGCCCTACATCTTCGACCAACTGTTGCCTGGACGTGTACTGCCATGAGCATCGCATGCTCACTGCCATGTCGGCTTGCGTTCAGGCGACTCAATCTATAAACACATCGTAGATGGTGGTGAAGTCGACATTAAGGCCGGTCAGGAGGTTCCGGGATCATTATGCACTGCACATATTTCACGGGTCAAATCAACCAGTCTACGATGGCAGCTTGTTTCCGCATGTTTACCTGTAGTTTTATACGTCGTAGAATGTCCCGCAAAGGATTCATTGTACAGCTCTGCGTGACGCAGCTTAACAACAACGGACAAACATAAACACCTGAGCTGACATAAATATTCATGCTAGCGACTGCATAGCGGCCTCTGTCACCGGCAATGGAAACTCGCTTCGCTCCAGGCGATCAAATGGCCGCGTCAGACCGTGACCCTGTGACCTGGGCGCTCGACCCGCCCGCGGCGCCACGTGCGACTGCACCCAGCCTCACTTCACCGCCGTCAAATCGACCCGCTCACTGTCCGCACTGCACGTGCGAGCGCCGCCCATGGCGCTTCCTTTCAGCGACGGCCACCGACGTTTACCGAGCCGTTCCGCCGTGTCCGCGCAGCGTATGTACACAGCCAGCTCATTACGCTGCGGTCGTTGCGGCGGTACCCAGTCGGCGCCCGCTGTCGATGGCCGTGCAATGCCGACCCACAGCCGCCGTAGCCGTCCGGCCCCGGACGGAGGGGTTAATGGGCGGCCATTCGGGCCGCGCGGTCCAGGCCGGTCGTTATGGGCACGCGCCGGACGCCACCGGGCGAGCGGGCAAGCTGGTGGAACGCTGCCGTCTTACATGCAGTGTGATGCGGATGTAAAGCCGGCGGGGTATTCGCCTGACCTATTATTACACGCTTTAATGGAAGCATATTGATCATTTGGAGGCGGGTGCTTGGATTGAGATGATATGAAGATTCTATAGGTGCACTGAAGGAACGGGTACCTGGCCTAAGGTGTCACATTAGAAGATTTGCGACCATCGTCGATAGCGGCGAGGACGGCAGATGCCCGTCACGTTTTACAGGAGATCAGGCTGTGATCATTAAATGTCGGAAGCGTATGAGCGCTTCACTTCGTAAAGCATCGGAATCGTTGTTTGGCGCCCATGGGGGGTTGCGTCTCCCGGGCCAGGCCGAATCTGCAGCCGGCTAAGTTTGTCACTGATCAATAAGCAATAGGCGGTAGCGTGACGATAACGCGTATTTGGCGTGGGCGCAGTCACCAATCGGCCGGCACCTTGTCACGCGAGTGGACCGCCCGCGCCTCCCCCGCCATGGACGGGTGGACTCGTCCGTGCCAGACACGGGCCGCCGCGGGGCGCGACCGTCGTCCAGCTCACGCGACGGCAACCGCCATCCCTTGCGTGGCGACGGGACGCAGGAGGCTTCCGCTGGGGGTGCGCACCAGGGCTGCAAACCAGTCTCAGTCAGACCACAGTCTCAGTCAGACCACAGTCTCAGTCAGACTACAGTCTCAGTCAGATCACTGGCAACATCGCTCCAGTTGAAAAGGATGCTGCACCGTTCAAGGGGGGCAAGGATCACGATTTTCAGAAAGGTCGGGATGGTCAGGATAACGTGTCGAAATGTGAGAAAGCAAAGCGGATTGGAAATCGCGCTGGCTTTATCTTTATAAAAAAGCGACGCCAATACCAACACTGCTTGCAAAAAAAATTCAGGCCCGCCTTTTACTGGGGGATGAGGCATACTGCACGTGACATCGCATCCATCACGTTCGTCCTACCGTTCGCCGCTTGAATATCCTGCCCAGCGGCAGTACGCGCATACTGAGCATTGTGCGCCGATATTTGGCGAATTAA